TTGGCAAAGCTGATATCTCAGGAAGTGTAATATTTCCCTGAGATACCAAATTTCAGCAGATAAAAGAGCATGCTGGAATTATAACAGGTAAGGGCCCTTGTAGAATTTAGAAAACAAAGTGTTAACAACTTTTCACAATACACTACCAGTAACAAGGTCACAAATTCAGATGTGCAGGTACCTCCACAGAGTGTACACACACACACACACACAGAGAGAGAGAGAGAGAGAGAGAGAGAGAGAGAGAGAGAGAGACTTTCTTTTCTGGTTTACATGCTCACAGATACATATGCTCCAGATTATGATTTAGCTGCAATTGTGAGGAAAGAAGGAGGCAGAAATCCATGGGGAGTGAAGGGAGAATTTGCTGATCAAAGACCAGCTCCCCAACCTTTTCTTGCACAGGTTTTGAAACATGGAGCAGTGGTAACTGCTGCACTCTCCCACTACACACATTCCATGCTTCTACCCTGCTTCTTCATTCTCCTGGCTCTGGGCCATGAAAACACACACACACACACACACACACACACAGAGAGAGAGAGAGAGAGAGAGAGAGAATTCCTGTGAAACTCAAAGGAAGGGGAATGTTAAAGGAGCAACAGTCTGAAGAGACATGAGAAAAGAGGATGGAACAAGTGATCTGTAAGAGTCAATAGCAAGCAATGTGGGAAACCCCTGGCTGTAGGAAAAGTGCTGGCACCTCAACCCCCTCTTGGGTGGCACAATCGCACCACTGGGTTGAAATACACAACACCTGTTGACCCAAGTCAGCACAGTCAATGGGAATAATTAATTATGTGCCATCAAATCAATTCTGACTTATGGCAACCCTTTTCAGGGTTTTTTAGGTATAGTAACTATATTCAGAAGTGGTTTCCTATTCCCTTCTGGAGGAGGGGGGCTGGAACTGTGCAGCTTGCCCAAGGCTACATAGGCTGCCTCTACTCCCTAGAGGCATAGTTGGAAATTGAGCTCCCAACCTCTGGCTCCACACTAGATTCCTAATCCACTAAGGTATGACATAGGCACTGTAATCCCACACATCTGAAAGGACCCAGTTTGCAGAAGACAGCACTTTAATATTACTACATGAATATTCAAAGAGATGTTGCACCAACCACTAAATATCATCACCTAGATTTGCCAGATTGTAAAGCACCCCTTGCAGTCACATCATCAAACAATTTAATAGTCAGTTGGACTGCATATAATGGCAATTCAAATTATTGCAGATACTGAAGAGCTTTAACTACTGATTAAAGCAAATTGAGATACTGTTTGAAGCCTAAATACAGACCAGATTTTATTTATCATCATCATTGTCGCCACCACATTCATTCTGGCCAGTTGATAACATTAAGTGCCCCTTCTCCAGCCTACTTACATCTGTGGAATTGTCTTGTATGACCTTTGACACCATGACTACAACCATCTTACACAGAGAACATTTCAGGTTTCTCTGAAAAGTAAAGAAGAAAATTAAGTTACTTAAGAGAACGGTACATGCCAGCTCATATACGAAAAAGCCTTTGGGTTGTGTGGCTAGATTAAATTAGTTGCAATTAGTTCCCAATGAAATCAGTGGGCAGGATTTCAGGCACAATTAAATTGCTCTGCTGATTTAAACATTTTTTGGCAGTGGCTGCATCCTTCGTATAACATGTAATTTTGGTCTCAGTTTCCAAGAGAAAAAATAAGTGATGCAAAGCCAGTTAACTGAACTATGGTCTAGACAGATAGAAAGATTCTGTCAGCATCAAATTGGAATTAACTGAACAGCTGTGGGGAAGAAGCACAAGCTATACAAGTCTACCTGCATTATGCAACTGTGCTGCAAAGAACCAGGAGCTGATATTGGGTTGGATCCAGTCTAAATTCATTTAAAACATGTCCCACTAAAATAAAGCAAGCAAGCAAGTAAGCAAGCAAACTATATTTATTTATTTATTATTTATTTATTTATTTATTTATTTATTTATTTACATCCTGCCCATCTGGTATATTCTACTACTCTGGGCGGCTACCAACAAACATATATACATTAAAATAACACAGATCTATTGGCATAATTAATAGCAAGAACAGTGCAAAAAATATAAATGATAGATAGCAAAAAGAAAGGAAGTTAAGTGCTGACAGGAGGGAAGGCCTGGGTGTACAGCCATGTTTTTAGTTGGATTTTAAATGTACCCAGCATAGGGGCTGCGCAAATCTCAGGAGGGAGATTATTCCAAAGGCGAGGAGCCACCGCCAAGAAGGCCCGGTTTCGTGTCTTTTCCTTCCGGGCCTCCCTCGGCGTCAGGTTCCTCAGCCTCACCTCCTGGCTCGCGCGGGTGATCTGAGTAGATCTTGATGTGAGCAGGCATTCCGCCAGGTATCAAGGTCCCAAACCGTTTAGGGCCTTATAGGTAAGCATTAAAACTTTGAGGCCAATGCAGAAATGAATGGGCAACCAATGCAGCATGGCCAGGATAGGAGAAATGTGCTGGTGTTTTCTCACTCCAGTAAGGAGTCTGGCCGCTGCATTCTGCACCATCTGAAGTTTTCGCATCAGCCTCAAAGGCAGCCCCACGTAGAGCGTGTTACAGTGGTCTAATCTTGAGATTACGAGTGCATGCACCAAGGTAGTGAGCGCCCCCGTGTCAAGGTAGGGACGCAGCTGGCCTATCCGCCACAGGTGGAAAAAGGCGGTGCGGACAACCGACACCACCTGCATTTCCATGGTGAGCGTCGGGTTCAAGTGTATTCCCAAGCTGTGGTTCCCACTTGTCGGAGCCAGGGTCACCCCCCCAAATGAGAGAGAGTCACCCAGGCCGCCAGCCACGGGGGCCCACACCCTCAGAACTTCCGTCTTGTCCGGGTTCAGCCTCAGCCTATTTTCCTGCATCCATTGCAGTACAGCCCCCAGACAGTGCTGGAGGGACAGGACGGCATCACCTGCAGTTGGTGAAAAGGAGATGTAGAGCTGGGTGTCATCAGCATATTGAGGCTCCACACCCCCTGATGACACCACCCAGCAGCCTCATATAGATGTTGAACAGCATTGGGGAGATAATCAACCTCGTGGAACCCCACAACTGGAAGTCCACGCGGCCGAGACACTCCCCAAGTTGTACTCTCTGGGGACGGTCCTCCAAGAAGGAACGGAGCCAGGCAAGCGCCGAGCCCCCAATTCCCAACTCGGGAGGACACCGTGGTCGACGGTATCGAAGGCCGCCAAGATGTCAAGGAGGACCAACAGAGACATTTTGCCCCGTCAGCCTCCCTCAACAGGTCATCGTACAGGGCGACCAATGCCGTCTCTGTACCGTGGCTCAGCCTGAAGCCCGACTGAAATGGTATGACTTAAGCCTTAGTGACTTCAGAGGGAACAAGGTTCAACAAATACAGTCTGGATTCAAGCCCCTGAGATGCAGCATTAAGAAGGCTTCTAAGCAAAGCAAAGTAAAGAAAAGCAAAAGTAACCCCATTTTCTAGCCTTTAAAGGACTGCAAAGATATGAAGTGTGTGAATCCAAAGTGGAAGCTCAAATGTTCAGGATAAACCTCAGAAGCAGAACAACATTGGTTTGGAGGGTCCTAAATTAGAGACAGAATCCTGCACAAACACTGTCCATTCATCTAGGATACACTGTGTGTGTGTGTGTGTGTGTGTGTGTGTGTGTGTAAGAGAGGCAAAAACCAACCACCAGCCCCCAAACTGAAATACTACCACGTAGCCTTGTCTCTTGCATATGTAACCATCGTTATGAGCAGAAATAGAGAAGAAAGCCCTGAAATAATCCTTTTCTTCTGGTCTGTTATAAACTTGTTTATTGGCAAGCAAATTGCACTCTGTAGATATTCAGGGTACTCTGTTTTTATTTTCCAGCCTTCTATCAGGAAAACGGCAGAGGATGTTGCGCTGCGTGCATGTTTGACAAGAGCCTATGTGTCACATCAGAACCATGCAAGTCCCAGAAATGATCCTGCTTAGGTCTGGGTTGCATCACCTTGCTATTACATTCATTGAAGTGTTACTTTCCCAGCCCCACTTCCTGGATGATAATTCTGACACCCTGCTCAGGTGAAGCCCTCATTGGCAGGGCACAGAGGGTGGCAGTTAAGAGAACCAAGAGGATAAACTGTGAGGTCTATACTCACCACTGGGGGGTGAGGTCCCAGCATTTGCTGGCAGTATTCCAAAGTTCCACACTTCAACGCAGTTGGGAAGTCTTGACACCATGACTCTGGACCTTCTGAACATTTTTTCTCCAAAGACAGGGGACTTGCAGCAGCTGCCCAAAAGAAGAAGAAGAAGAAACAAAGAAAAAAAGAAGAAAGCAATCATTAAATTTCAGTGGCCCAGTGGGAAAAGTTTTGTTGAACCATGGTGGAAATGAATTCTATGCCAAATCATGTTTTCAAAAACAAAGATGTATACTTTTTAAACACAGGGTTAATTTAAGCTAGAAAAGAACTGATTTAGGAATAGCGGGCCTGGACTCAAAGCCCATGCTCAGCTCCATATGATTGGCCTTGGAGAAAAATAACCTCAATGTAATCTGCCCATATGGAAAACAGAAATAGTAGCAACCTGTGCCCATGATGGAGCCAACCACAACAAAATCTGAGAAGCACAGAAGAGCTATATATATTTTACCTATATAACAACTATCATATGTGAATTTATTAAACATGTTGACAATATTATTTGTCTTCAAATGAAGCAGACCAGCCAGATACAGCAGAGAGATGGGCCACAAAACTTACACTAATTTTTGTTCTTATAATTGGTTGGCATGGCATAGCACTGAGGAGCCTTTTTTTGGCTTTTAGCTCCTGTCAGCCAGGCTGGCTAATAGTAAGAGATTTGGGAAGTTTCAGTGTTTCTGGAGGGCCAACGATTCCTCACCCCTGATTTAGCATTAGATCTCTTCCTTCCTCTATGTGTTCTCAGCATCCCTCTTCCTCTCCATAGAAAATCACAACTTTATTGATACTTGATACTTTAATGATACTTGAGCAAAACAAGTCAAAAAATTAACAGTCCTAAATTTAATGCTGTAACAACCTCCTCATGCCAGGGTTCAACAACTCTGTTCTATAATCTGCCATGGTAGCAGAAAGAAATCTCATTAATATGTGCTGGTAAAATACACTAGAACTATGATCATTCACACTATGGTAAGTGAGGCCAGCTTGTAACAAGACATCATCTGGGACAAGTTTGTGTACAGTTGCAGCCTTCTTATGACAGATGTTTATGTTTCAATCCCAGTTATCAATAGGTTCAAATTATGGAGGGGAGAGTAAAGGGGGGTGGTTGGGCTGCGTGAAATCCACAAGCCATTGGTCTACTTTTTTTCCACTTTCGGTCAGTTCATAATTTGAGTTCTGCCAGCTGTGTAAATTTACTAGCTTAAAACAAACTGGCATTGACTAGAAACTCTGAACAGACTCTTCAGACAGCTAATATTTGCTTTGCAAGGCAGAAGTACAAGCAGCAGAAACAGCAGTTCAGCCCAATAATTGCCTGCCTCTTTTATTTGAGCCAGACCTACACATTTGCAATAACCTGGCGGACATGCATTTACTCTGGGTTAGCTGCAAAAAGGTGCGAGATAGGTTGTAACATATGTCAACGTTGTAGTTCTTTTTTGTTTGGGTGGGCTTGCCCACGGCCACTGTGGGTTTGCCCACGGTGGGGTGCGACATCACGTGATGAGAACCATCATGCCTCACTCTCACCTTGTTTTTTTTTAATTTTTAAGAAGAGTGTTCAAGCGTGTATGTAGATGTTGATTAATTACAGTTTTTTAAAAAAAGGAATTGTACATTCATGTGTTTCAATACAGGTGGAAAGGAGGGGGAAATGACAATATAATGGCATTCAAGGGCATTCAAAGAGATGGTGAATCAGGGGAGGGAGAGCAGGATGAAGAGAGGCAAATCCACCTCCTTGGACCGAGAGCTCCCAAGAGGCTCTTCAGGTCCTCCTAAACAGCAAGGGGCTCATTCTGTTTTATCTGAAGTCATCACCTTTATTAAATTAAGGCAAAAGTTAGAAATATCCCTGAAAGCAGACGTGACAGACAGGGTGGGGAACAGGGGTACAGGGAAGGGCTGGAGTGCCTCTGAAACTGCAGGGCACCATTTTAAACTGCAGGTGGGCTTAACGTGTGATACGACAGGAGTCACTGCAGATCCAATCCAGTTTTTCCTGACAGTATAGTTGTAGCGTTCCAGACATTAGCAGGTAGCAATGTTTAGAGCTTTGTGGTCATTAAATGCTTCCCTGCAGCAGAGCAGTAGGCCAGGCTGCATTTCTTGCTATTGCTTTGATAAGCACAGTGTGAGGTGTTCTGGCCTTTAGGAGCATATTTCAAAACTCCCACAGTGTCTCAGATTTAGGAGAGCAACCTTCAACGGCCTAGATTCCAACTGCTACCCTCCAGATATTTTTGACTTCAGCCGTCACTATCATGCTGGCCAGAATAATGGAAGTTGGAATCTGAGGAACCTGGAGGGTGCGGGTTTGAGGAAAGCTGGCCTTGCTCCTTCTTCACCAAGGAAGGCCATCACATATTCCGTCCTTCTGTGATTAAGCCTTCTCTTCTTCAAACATCCATACATCCTCACTTTTATCAGGCGGTTCCATGCTTCCTTAAATCTTGTCCATAGTCATATGAATATCTCTAACTCTGTAATTATCTGACCCACATACTCTTTAAGCCTTTGTGCAATCCTTGTGCAGAATTTTATAACAAGCCACATCAAAGAAAGGCCTTTGCTGTGATATCTCAAACCAATTTGCCTTATACTCTTCCCATTCAAGTTATAGCCCTCAGTTACCACCACAGCACACTTTCCCTCCGTCCAGGGTCAGAAGGAGCCCCTGCTTGCCGGTAAATAGCTTCTTTGCGTTGTTGTCGCTGTTGTGTGTGGCTTTTTTGCTGGGTACATTTGGACTTCATAATAAGCCTAAATTCTTGCTGACCAGAGATAAGCTGCATGCTAGTAACTGTTAAATTGGTCCTACTGCAAGCAGAACTGGCTAAACAAAGCATGGACCTTTAGCTTGCTTATCATGAGCTCTAAAACCTAGCATGTCTCTGACAAAGCAAAAAAAAAAAAAAGTAATCTCAGTACCTTTTCTGGGCTATCAGTAGAGAGATAAATCAGACTGCCTAGCCAGCCTATTGACAAAAGATCTATGGTTTGCAATCAGGGAATGTGTACAAGGATGTCATTCATAATCAATCGGCCAGGATTCCCTATAAATACTGGCTCACTGTGCTATGCAGCTTCAATTTAGGTATTTATTGCTTGCATTTATAGACCGCCCCTTTAGTGGCAAGCCGCTATTCTGGGTGGTTTGGACGAGTTAAAACACTCCACCCACCATAAGCAAAGGGAGAAAAACTTATTACACCAATAATTTCATATCTGCTCAAGGAGGAGGAACTGATGACCCAAGAGAGGACTCAGAGGCTGCTTCCAGGCTGCAGAACTCCCAAGAAAGTTGAGGCTGGCCCCCTCCCCTACTATCCAAGTGGGGCAGGCAACGGCCTTTTCCTTCAAGGTATGCTTCTGCAGCTAGTGGAGGGGGGACTTTAATCTAGACAGGTGCTGCCTTTAGATTTGCTGAATTTGTTCTTAACTGCATAGAAAGAAAACTTTTTAATGAAGCTGTTGCATGTTTTTAATCAGTGCTGATTTATTCATTCCCATTTGGTGCTGGGAGAAACAGAAGGAAACAAAGAAGGAAGATAGCTTTTCAGCCTGTATTTTCAGCTGTGTCTCTAAAAGCAATTTGGTGAGTTTATCTTTGTTATTACACCTGCAACTGTTCTGATAGTACTGTTGTGAATTCTACGTCCTGTGGAATTCTGGGACCAGTAATCTGGTGTCATACGTAGCTTTGTGCCCAGGAGAACCCTCATGCACACGGGTACAGAAGGGACTTCTAAATACATAGCCAAATGACACATCGCGGCACTCCCCTGCCCACCCACACCCGAGGAAGTAGCTGTCCTGTGACAGTTAAAATGATACTGGACAATAGCTGCATAATATAGCCTCCAGAGGAAGGGAATGGGAAACCGCTATTCTCTTACCTAGAACAATCTGAAAAAGGTCTGACCGACCCTAAGTCAGAATTGACTTGATGGTACATGGTTATTAATGGCTAGATTTACTCCAGCTTGTACAGGTCCATTTCTGCTGTGCAGCAGGTTCATGGGCAAGCTTTGGGTGCAAGATCTGATGCCATGAAATAGGCAAAAGTGTGGGCAGAAGATATACTACTGTTTATCTCCATGCTCTGAAAAACATTTATTTCCATAATCTTGTTTTAAATTGGCATAGCAGCACTCTGATACAATGAAGCATTTGCTATTGGACTGTTTCCTTTTTTTTCTTTGCTTTATCATCTGCTAGGTTGTTGCTTCTTTTAAAATCCTGGTTTTCAGTTATTGACCAGAATCCTGTTAGTGGTCATGTACTGTTTGTGCCACCTGCCCTGGTTAATTGCAGCTAACTGATGAGGTGTCAGGGCACAGGTCAGTCATGCATCAAACTGTGCTACCAAATTGTTCAATTAGCTGCAATTAGCTGAAGCAAGTTATGCAAACTTTGGGCAAGCACTAATAGGATAGTGGCCAATGTGTTTTGATAACCATAGAATTCCCTTTAAAATATACTTTCAAGCCAGACTTTTGTGCCATGTTTTGTTTGGAGTATTTGCATTCTTGAAAAAGACCTTTTGGCCATACACAATAAATGCTGAAGTTGGCTGGTTCCTGAGAGCCAGGCTGCTGTTCAAAGGTGCACACACTACTTCCTATATGTCACAGCTCACGGAGAATCTCTGTGACTATGTAGCTAAGTACTTCTTCCCCTGACTCATAGTTCCGCAGACGACAGTTATAGTAAGATAGTTTAGGGTAATTTAGGACATGAGCTGTTCTTATATTTAGTGCCGTGTAGGCAGGACAAGATAACAGACTTATTGGATAGGAACAATGCTGACAGAAAACTTTTTTTATGATCATGTAGCTTCACGCTGGTAGCTCAGCTGTACAAGGTAAAAAGGAGACACAAGCAAGGGACCACAGTAGAGGATGACTAATGGTATGAGCAGGTTTTCTGGCACTTCTATTTACCACTCCTGGCTCCCAAGTCTGCATTCAGTGCTTCACTAAGACCACACAAGAGTGATACTTGAAAACATTCTGTTGCCAGAAACAAATGAACAATTGTAGCCAAAGGGCTTGTGTCACATCTAGGGATTCAG